CTCTGATGATCCTCTACAATTTCTGATGGTAGGATCTGCAGAAAGCTACCTACATGCTTATTTGTGTTCGAATGAGCAAATTGTATTTTTAAGTTAACAAGCAGACTATCAGATTCACAAGTTTTCCTCCTAGTCTAATTGGATTTCCAATATGGCCCAACTCCTGAAAATCTTGACGCCATGCATGTGATAAACTGGATTTTTAAAGGCATTAATCTGTTGCTCTTTCTTTCACAGTTCTTTTTCATCTGTACCATGCATTAGAAGAGAGTGTTTATCTCAGCTACGTCAAGAAAAAAAATGATTCTACTTAGAAAAAGGGAGTTATTACTGAAATAAAGTAAAACAAATTATCCTGCAAATCATGTCAATTCCCTTCAGCTTAACTCAAGAGTACTTTTCAGTTCAACAATAAATAACTGCTAACTTCTCTTAAACTCAGTCAATTGATTTCTAAAGCACACTCAAAACTTCAAAGAGGTATGGAGTAACAATCTCCTACAACTTTTACAGAGATTACTGAAGATGATTTTTCAACTGTTCATGGAGATAAAATTCTAGTATAAGTAACCTTTATCAAAATTGTTTACATTCAGATTTCTTTTGGAAAAGATGGCCAGCCAAATTTGTGATTGTTCAAAGATAAGGCTCATTCCCTTTATGCATATGATGGCCTTTAAGGAAAAAGAAAAGTGTTATTTTAAAAATTTTCAAACAGAAATTGCTGTTTCTTTGTACATGCATGTGCACACAGATGTACCCCCACATCAGTAGAGCAACTCCTGGATTAACTAACTCATTAGTTAACCTTAATGTGGCTGCAATTCTGTTATGTTTCTAGATCTTGGAAAAAAAAAAGTTCTAAAGGAAAACAAGCTTTTATTCATGTGGCTCTCTGTATGTAGTTACTACGTAGCTACTAGGAACTAACTATTCCCCACTCATTTTTTTCCAGCTCCAACCGAAGCCACAAGCTATTATTGGTAGCTGCAGTAAAGCCAGAAATTCAGTAATTGGAGTTAAAGCTATGTCATTTAAATCCAGCTGGCACAATTAAAGTAATTACTGAGCATGTCCTTGAGAAGAAAAACAAAGCACAGTGAAAACAGAATGGAATATAAATATACACTACGTTTTTAAGCAAGAATCCACAGACAGAAGACTTTGAAAAAAAGTATAATGTTGAACTCCCTTTGAGAGAATGAATGTCAAATGTCTGAGTATCTCTGGTGCGACTTTCAAATGTATTAAAAAATGGATGACACTGAAATTATATTGTTACAGCAATGAGTTCAGACTTTAACATCCAGGTTTTTGCGTAACACAAACTTACATGTATCTACAAATGTAACACAAATATTTTCATTTTTTCTTGTATTTACCTTTTATAAGATCGTGACCCTCAATTCCAAAAAATTTGAAAAACATTTTTCCTGTTCTGCCAAGTCTATGCCTTTTAGGTATTTGTGAGTATTGCATCAACATGAAAGAGTGGTCCAGGTAAGTCCTGCATCACAGGTATACTATTCTTGTTACCTAAAATACTACACTGAGACTTAGTCTGACTGTATCTCTCATTTCACGCAAGCATCTCTTCTGTGCCTGGCATGAAAGATTATATAGCTAGGCAGCAAATACTGTAAAAGTATTACTACTGTCTCTGTAAAAGTTGCTCTGAATTCTTCCCATTTCATACTAGAACAAAAGCCTTAGGTGTATTTCAGGAAAAATTTCAATTATTGCCTCACGACAGTCTGTAACTTACTGTTACAAAGTTGGTCTTTCCTGTACAATTCAGTACCTGAAACCTCGGTCTTCCACTTCCCTGACCCACAGCTTCCACAGCAGGGTACTGGTTACTCTGCAGTGGTCTCCTCCACAGCGAGAAATCCTACCCTCTTCTAACCTTACAGAAACATCTCTGAAGAAGTCTTGACAAATTGGAATGTTCTCATCAAAGAACTTATTCAGAAAATTCCCCCATGTGTGTGGTTGTAGGATTTGACTAGCTACTTGCAGCTAAATGAGTTGACAAAAATAAATGCGTCTTGTTGTCGAGAATAAATTCACTGTAATTAGTTTTTCCACTAACTATAATACATTGGTTAGCAGGCATATTGGTCTCTTGGAGAAGTTCTTAGGTAAAAAGGCATTTTCTGAACAGTCAAAAAGCAAGAATCTTTCACTCATTTGACAAGTAAAAGTATTAAAAGAAGCTGCAGTGGAGCTGGAGGAATTAATGTTCTACGGTGGACTGGGAACTTTGATCTTAGGTTTTTGTTTTGTGAACTCAAGTCACAACAAGTGACAAAGGTCACTTAAACCAGAGTATTTATACTCTTCTATAATGCAAACATACAGGAAAAGAAAATGCTTTCTCAAGGAAGTAGAAGAAATAACGTGATTTTGCTCTGAACGCCAAATCCTACAACCACGCTTTGAGAAATGCGAGGCATAACATTTTATTTAGTGTCCAGATGGAAGCAATAGGTGCCTTCCACCTAGGTAAGATCTGAAAGCCCTGATCATAACCTTCTCTAGGTGGGAATTTCCACGAAGCTTTGACTGAGCATTCCAGCGCATCTGAAACCTCATAGTTCACGTTATGTGTTACAGAAGCTCAATGCTCATTACTTTGCTGGAGTTCGCTGATTCCTCAAACTAAAACCACTAGTTACTACCTAAAATTGACAGAGGAAAAAGAACATAAATCCATAACATCCTTGATCCCGTTTGTCTGTGTTAGCAGTGACAAAGGTGTAATACATTATCTGCTTGCTTTATAAATCCATCGACATCACTAACTAAACGAGTCCAGCAGATTTATGGCCTCATCTATAGTAAACTGAAATAAAAGAGAACTTTTCCACTGAAGTCTTTTATCTGATGCCAGTTAATCCCTTTCTCACAAGAAGATAGTTTGTCTATGGACACAATTCTGGAAGAGGAGAAAGCTATTTGAACTATTTTGTGTATACTTCCATGATCCTGCCTAATTAAAAATTCACCATGTTCACTTAATTCAGCATTCTTTCATGTTCTCAGGAGAGCAGTTGAGAAAGGTTCACTAAGATGATGATACCCATTAATCAGCCTGTTTTGCAAACTCCATCAAAGTGCAAGAGTACTGACTAAGGCACGTAGCAGTGCTGCATCATTCTCACTTGTTTAGTAATCAAAGTTCAAGCAACAATATTCCTTTCTTTTCTTTTTTTTTTTAAACCCCTGGATTCAGGATAAAAAGGAAACTTTTTAGTCTTGGAGACAAATTCTTACCCACATACATAGGATCCTCAAGCATAAACAAACTGCATTTTGAAGCTTTACAGAAAGGCCATTTTTTTTTTTTAAATGCACCTTTAACTGTTCCTGATTTCTCTTAGTGAACTTAACTGATAACGCTGACTTTTATATCTAAGGCAATTCTTACTACTGACTTCTGAGACGTATTTATAAATACTGTTTCCCTTCTTGCTTGCAGCTGAACATCCTAACCAATTACACTTCTGTAAATACAGAATAACTTCACCGATTTCAATGACTTAATTTGGGATTGACTCAATTAACACAGGCAAATTAATGAATCAAGTTAGCAAAGGGCTACCATTTAATTATTTTTTCTGTCTCTTCAAAGAGCATAGCTGTAATCAGAAGAGGAGAAACATCCACACCAAAGTTTAATACAATTTTGAGCTGATGCTATCTTGTCCTCAATCGCTGAGCCCTCCATGTTTCTTTTCAGGTTAAAACTAGGTGATGTGAATAAAAAAAAAGCATATCATTTACTATGAGGAAGAATTACTGCTGCCATACATAAATATGCAAGAATATCAGCACGTGTATGTGTAAGCAATTAGAAAAAAATAGAACAGGATACCAAAAAAAATTGAAGCATATTATAACAGTGAAATCTTCCCATACCTGTGCTTGCCTACCCAATGAAACCAATTACACTAGGAGAGTGCAGTAACTTCAACTGGAAATTTCCGGAGACAAGTGATTTTCTTATACAATCTTCATGCCAATTTTTTGCTGTGTGTCATGACTCTGGAACATTTTGATTTTTTTTTGGAGGAAGTATTTACCAGTACCTGCCTCTTTAGGAGACCTTGAAGAACCTCTTATCTATGATATATTTTGGGCATCAAGAAAAAAAAAAAATCAATGCTAAAACATGTTAGAGGTGAGCAGAAACAGCTATCTGAAAGCAGATCTCTCTTCTTCAGAATGAAGATAGCATTCCTAGTTTAATGCTACACTGACTGCGAGCAAAAAGAACTTTCACAGTAGTTGTGAAGGTGCAGCAAAATCTGCGTGTACTTCAGATGAGTAATGCATGCCCATGGAATTTAAAAATTAAATAATTTTGGAACTTGTAAATTACTATTTATGTGTGTTACACAGACTCATTTTGCAGTTGCAAGGATGGGATTTTTCTAAGAATAATTCCTTTCCTATTTACTTTGACTTAATTAAAGTATCAAAATGACATTAATGCAGGTACAAATATGCCCCAACTATAGCTATTTTTCTGCGTTACTTTTTTTCCCCCAGATTGGAACACATTTTATATGTGAATATCTAAAGCAAATATATATGAATATATAAAGCAAAACTAACAACATAACTGCAGCTGTAACACTTCTGAATAACATGACTATAAAGGAATAATAATAATAACTGAATAATAATAACAACTGTTTCAAAGGAATTTCATATCCATGTTTCCAAGTGATTGCACAATGAAGGATTGTTATGGGAAAAGGTTACACTGAAGGTATGAAAAAAATACTTCTCTGTCTTTAGTCCCTATTTACTGGTAGTCTAAAAGGTGAGAAAGTATCAGGAAATTCATGACAGCACACATTTCCTTAGTCACATTTCATCTCCTTTTTCAAAAACTTGACAGTTCAGGGTAAGTATGGCCTTTCCACTTAAATACTGCAAGTGCAATCATCAAGAATCATTAATTTATTATTTCAGTTCAGACACAAACTTACCTAAAAATGCATCGCTGTATTCTGTACTAGAGAGCTTAAGCAAGTTGTTTTCCAAAGTCTCCATCACTTTGGCTGGAATAAATGCAACATTCATATCAGCATTAACACGTATTTTGTAAATAAAAGATACACTTTTTAAAGCCGCCAGGAAGTCAAATGAAAAACTTTAGGCTGAAATTTTCAAGAGCACTTTCCATTGGTGGAAAAAACAACAAGACCACTTTAATGAAGACTTTCACTCTGTTCCTAAAAGAAGTTTAACTTGGTGAAATAACTTTATAGAGTAAGTTAGTGCCTATCAACATTAAGGAAGGACTTATCAAAGCAGCAGAAACCAGCCGATTTAATCTGTTCTATAAAGTTTCACACACAGTTGGCAATAGCGTATGGCAATAGTTGGCAACAGGTGACACACACAGTGACTGGGATCTCCGACGAGACCAGTCTCTCTATTAAGGTGTATTTACCTGTTAAAATAGAAATCCTAAAATAAAAGTAGTCCCTTTTTCCAAGACAAGTTAAAATTCATAGGGATTTTCTCACTTTTCTCTCATTCTCTCTATACCACTCTTCCCTGATTCGGCTATTCATGAATGAACGCATCTGTTCCTACACGTTCATACTTAAAGACATTTCTTCCCAAAGTCTAATATTTTTTTTTTTCTCTCTCTCCTAGGACAGACTACAGAAACCTTCGTGCTCTTCCCCAGCATACAGGAGCACTTTCTTCTCCTGTTTTCAGTGAAAAGGAAATAATCTTGTAATTCAGAAAAATAAAAGAAAAATTAGCTTAAGCTTCACTTCAAACACTATAGAGATTCACTCATAAATTCAGTACCATGGTGGTTCTAGCTGTTTTGTGCAAAAACATCTCTCTAACAAACCATAGGTAGCTAAACAAATCAAAGCTTATCAGATGCCCCTATAACTTAATGAAAGATGCTAAAAAATTATATCTAAGATATCTCTGAGGCACCACAGGACTTCAAAGGATGTTCCCATAGATCCCTCCCATTCCCAGTGCTGGAACAAGCTCCTGAAAGAGAAAAACTTCCTACCTCGTTCTGACACGACATCCACAGTAGCTGTAGATGTCCCTGCACTTAGAGGCTGAGGCCGGGGCTGTGGCTGCACACGATTTGGCTGCAGAAACGAAGAATGCTTGCTCAGACTCTGAGGATGCGTTTGGCTCTGGGCTAGGCATGGCATAGATCTTCTAGAGGGTTTTAACGGATGCTCTTTCACTGTCTCGCTCTTGCTTGTATTCATACCTAAAAAAGCCAAAAGAAAAAGAACATAAGCTCTGCCATATTAGGCATTGACAAAGACAGACAGCTAATTACGAAAACTGACGGTGATTCATCCACTTAATAAGCAACTCTCCAACTAAACAAAATGTTTGAAGTATTTAAAGTTCAAAGAAGATTACAGTTGGGAACAAAATCCAGGAATTCTTCACCTACCCTTCCATCAACAGCTCACAATTCAAATTCACAATACTCTAAATCTGCTGATTCTGTGGTACATTCAGAAGCAAACGACAGCACCTAGTGTCATCTACACTATGATTGCTAAACAACATTTTAATTCAGTGGTAGAAATTAAACACGGAAACAAACCAAAAATTGAATACAAGCAAAAGATGTTCACAAGCTTCCTGAAGGACTCATGAACACCTTCTCCTTTGAAATGCAGCTGTTTGCAAGTTCTGATGAATACGTTAGCTGTTTCTAGATTTTCTTTTGGGACCCATGCACAGTCTTGGGTTTTCATATATGTTGCCTGACTTTGGGTTCATTTTGGGTGCCCTCATACAGACAGATGCACCAGTCAACTGTGTGATATCAGGAAGAACACTTGAAAAATACGATTGTTAGTTTAAATGAAAAATGTGATTTGGGGATCATTGTTATCAGTACGTCCTTTAAAAAAAAAGTCACAAAACTCATTTCCTGTTCCGAGTTTGTCCCACCTTAACATTACAACTCCACATCTCTCAAATGTATCTCAAAGAACCAATTTTCTGCTTCTTTTACTTGAAAGTCTCTTTGACAGGATGCCCAGAGTTCACTCCTGCCCAGTCTGCAGTGTGCAGTCCCCAGTGCTGGTCCCAGTACAGAATTGTTCATCAATGCACACCAAAAAATGCATTATCATCAACTTTGTTGCCATTATTATGTTTATCACTTAGGATTTAGAAAGTGCAATTATGTGCCATGAAAACATTATTCTTTCCTTTTTACCCCCAGCACTATCAAAGTGTTCTCATTAATACTACTTTAATTCCACTAATCAACTAAAATGCAGACCTGAAACAATTTACTGGCACTCACTGAATACTAGGTATGTCATAAAAGAACCTGTTGATATTTGCAGAAATAGGGTCATATTCAGCTATCATTATCCATAAACGTGCTCATTATTCCACTTCAGTAATTACAATTAGCTATATTTCTAAGTGTTCAGGTTTGACAGACAGTAAGTATTTAATAGCGATTATAGAATGACAATATGAATTTACAACTGTGACCCTGGAGTAAGCATGCCTTGTATTGTATTCTGATATTTGGCACAAAGGATGGCTTATAGGCACTATGCAAACTTTAAAGCTGTTCCTGAAAGGCTCTTGTATACTATGAGGTGTGAATTTAGGGGCGGAAAAAAAAAAAAAAAGAAAAAGAAGGAGGTAAGATGCAGACATTAAGGGCATTCCATTCTGCAAAATATTTACACTTTCCTTTCAAAGCTACAAAATTAATTTCCCCTTCGCCGTTATTGAATTATATTAATGCTCTTAATCATTTTACCTATTGGGTAAGCTTTGTTACATGGTGGCAACTCCCTCCTATTTCAAAGTCAGTTAGGACAAAACAATTGAGACAATGATAGGGGAAAACCCCAACTCTTACAGTAGTTTCTGAGATACAAGGAAACCAAGTAGCTTTCCTAAGTTTATATGGAAGAGGAACTCATGATACACCTTTTGACTCAGTCTATGGCCCTGATACACCATCACTGTAAGAAGAGAAGAACTGAACACCGAGCAAAATGCAGGTCCATTACAGAGCTGACCTAAGGTATTCAGCTCCATGACGGCCAGGGTTTGTTTCTCCTGTACCCCGGGAACCGGCCGGTCAGGCAGAACGTGCTGGAGCACGGGGGCATTCCAGGAGCTAAAGCCTCCTGCCTGTACAGGATCAGCAGATCTTCTGTGATTGCTGTACACAGTGTCAAAGATCCTCAGAAGATTAGTGTAGAGAGTCTGTTTTACTACACTATTTCCCTGCTCGACAGCACAATTTAGTCTGCAGCATGTTCTTATAAATCTTAGTCTCTCTGTGACAGATATCACCTCTCTCCGGCTGTGCCAGTAAGAAATAGACAATGTAAAGATTGCTGCTGCTTGGAGTGCCATGAACTTCCAAGGAATTTTCCCCATCAAAATCCATGCCACTCAAAGAAGGATGTCACACTCAGCAAGTCCCTTTCTTATCTAGATCTCAACGTGAGTCCACAAGGAAGGTCCTTTGATTAGCAGGATACTCCCCATATTTACATATAATAGCTAAGGTTTGAAAGGATCTTTCATTTAAAAACTTCCCAGAGCTCAGAGAACATGCTTCGCTTCCATGTAAATGTGCTCTGTCAAGAAATGCAAACCTTCATCAGTCCACCGAGGACAGTTCTTCCAGATCTGCAGCATAGCATCACAGTTCTTGGTCAGAATAATTAAGTATTAATTCAATAGGAGGCTAAGGTAGATAGAGGTAAGCTGTTCCTGCCTCAGAAGGCGCAGCAGGTCTTTAAATAGGTACGAGCAGAAAGGACTCTGCTTCTTAATGATTCCGAAACGGACGGTCTGTGCCAGCTGAGCACGCAGCAGCACTGGGACCATACTGTGTTCAGACAGAGCCACGCTACGTAAGCTGTCTGCGGTGCTACTTGCAAGTTTTGGGGGAAGTATTCTTTGTAGTTCTTCCTAAATGGACGTGTTTATTAGACCAAAGTCTACGGTAGTTAGACAAAGCAATGGGTAATGTAGAATAATATATCAAAAGATGTATTTTGTGATTGTTCTGGAAGGCTTTAACTACCATTTTCTTAAGTAGTGATATGCTGTCAGTAATTACGGACCCTACCGCATACTTAATACTGTTGCCAAAAATGAATGTTTCTTGCATCTGTGTTGGAGTCACTGTGTGTAGCAAGATGAATCACTTTATTACCAAAGAAATTTACAGTAATGCAAATAACACACACTGTCATTCAATTTTAACAACAGTTTAAGCAATACATATAAAAAAAGAGTATAATTCTTTTATGAGGCACTGCCTCAATTTAAAAGAAAATTACTCCCTTTTGCTCTCTCACTGTACATCGTCTGTGTCATTTCAAACAGATGCCTTAATGCCATGCTGCTTCTGCTTGGAGAGAGCGCATCACAGCAGAGTAACCTCAGAGCACATTTGCTGTTACACTGGTAGTATGATCTACCTTTGCGATTCAAACTTAACAAGTTAATTCATTCTCTGCTAGTGGGTCCAGTTCTGTGATACGCTAGTTTTGGTGGCATTTGCTGTTGCATGCCAATGCTTACCCAGCTCTGGCACACAGCTTATGTTTGATATCATCAACTGGGTCACTAAATTATTTACTGAAATTATTTTTATTTCTTCCTCTCTTCTCCATAGGGGTGTTTTTTAGAATCTGTACCTTTCCACTTTCCAACTAGAATTTTGCTACACAGACCTTGCTTGTTCAGGGATATTTGGATCTGCACTAAAGGACACGTATACCCTTAGCAAAAAAAAACCCAAACATTTGTTTTTCTATTCAAACCCCATTTATTGGTTCTTTCCC